AGGTCGCGGGGCCGCGGGCGAGCGCAGGTCTTGTCTAAGGAAATAACCTCCGCGGCGGCGATGGCTCGCGCTCGCGTCCCGGCATCTTTTAGGATGGTTTGGGGTTAAAGGGAAAATGTACAGACTCGGACTAATGCTGCATAGAAATTAGCCGATCATTGTTTGGAGACCGGACCGTTTGTGTAATCGGCTTTCTAAAAATGGTTGTTTTAGTGAAAGTGCCAGTAGACCATGCTTGGTAACTGAGCGGGGAGTTAAAAACGAGTCGTTGGATTTCACTGAGTAGTTGCCGGCGGAGTGGTATGTGGTTGACTTGATCATTTTGATCCAGATTCTACTCATAAATAAAGATGACCTTAATCAAGCCCGGTATCTTGCCTGGTCTAAGTTATGCGTAAGATGGATGCGTTGCCTAGGTGACCCAAGGATTCCCTCCCCCCCTTCTAGTTCCACACAAAGATTCTTTGCAGCGTGATTATTTACATCACTAGTGCCTTTTCTTTAGTAGACACAATTCTTAGATTATTGGAATCACTTTATGAAGAGGGTATTTTCATGTGTACAGTTTTTGAGTATATGAAAACTAACAGTGTAATATGTTGCACTTGCCGTGTGTGAAATAAATGGTATCTCTTTGCGTGTTTTTTTGTAGTTGTTTTTAAAGTAGTTTACAGTTTTACGTGCTTTTAATAGTGAACAATAGAATACCTGATATTTTGACAACTATGTCACTGAATTTTGCCCAGTCATTTGAGTCTTTTGTTTTTTGAACCAATTAATAGAATTTACTTTTCTTGTGTAAGTATTGTCACCTAGGTGTCCCACCCCACCCCCTGCAGGTTGTGTAGATTAAGTATTTGATGAATTTGGTACATTTGCACAAAGAAGTGAAAATGAGAAAGGCAACTACCAGTGTGTCCTTAAAATAAACAGATGTCTCATGCTTTTCATCAGTCCGAAGGATTAAAGGTTGACAAGCCTGGATCGGTACAGACTGTTACCCAGCTGTGTTTTAACATTAGAGATTGGACTGAAATACTTTCCCCAGCAAAGCTGAGTTTATTGAACTTTCTTAGCTTGCACAAGGCTGTTTATCTGAGCTGTTTAAAAGAACCACCCAAATACATTGACAGTTGGTGCTAATTAAAGAGTATTTATTGTCTGTGTCATAAGTCTAATAAATTCACATTAGCCAGAACATTTTAATAACTTTCTTTTGATCGGTTTGAAATGTGCAGAATTTAAACCAATGCTTAAATATGAAGTCTTATTGCTTCTGAATGAAACAAGCTACTTAGTTAATCATCTCACTATTAAGTCTCAGTTTATATTTTAACTGCCCATTTCTAATACACCAATAGGATAGTCAGAATGTAAACTCAGGATATTTGTTCTAGAAGCACAATTGTTGCTTAATGTTTGATGAATCAATGAAGCTGCTACAAAATGTAATGGGTTTGGTTGGAATGGTATCACTGGTGTCCTGGGATAGCAATGAATGTGGCCCCAACACAATTGTATATGACAGAGTCATACTGTAAGGTCAAAGGTTGGGCAGTCCTTGTGGACTAATACTAGAAAAGTGTTTTGGAGATCATTTTGATTAGCCCAGTTCTTTTAAAGTTATTTCCAGGTTTAGGGGACTACAGTGCATATGTGTCTACAGGGTAGATGAGACTCCTAACAAGATTCTCAGCTCCCAACTCTCCTGCTATCTACAGTATATTTTTAACACAGGCTGGCACTATCTTTAGTTTTATATCAAAGTGTTGCCCACTACAACTAATAGGAAGTTCTGGATAAATGTTATCTAGAGCTAATCCTAGTTTCCTAGGGCAGATTTCTCTCATTTTTGCTGTCACAGATTTTTTTTCTAAAAAGCAGTGCCAATACTGAAAGGTAAAACTTTAAGCTGATGATAGATGGAAAACTGAAATAGTTATTTTCTCTTTTTTAAAGGATCCGTTAATCAATCAATCAATCATTGGTTTTTCGAGACAGGGTTTCTCTGTGTAACAATCAGCCCTGGCTGTCCTGGAACTCACTTTTGTAGGCCAAGCTGGCCTCAGAGTCATGGAGATCCACCTGTCTCTGACTCCCAAGTCCTGGTTTTATTTTTAATTGTGTGTGTGTGTGTGTGTGTGTGTGTGTGTGTGTGTGTGTGCACGAGTGCAGGTACCTGTGGAAGGCAGGGACAGTGTCAGATTTCCTAATGCTGGAGTTAGGGGCTCTCATGAGCCTACCCACAAGCAATGAGAGCCACACTGGGGCTCTGAGAGCCGAATGGCTCTTGACTTCTGAGGTCTCTCTCCAGGCCTCCTGTGATCTGACCAGCTTTTCCTCTTGTTAGCTGTGCATGAGGCCTTCTTCAGAGAGAATATTACCATTTTTAGAGGTTTCCAGTGTGGTAGATGTAAAGTATTTCCCTAAAGAGGCTTTGTGGTCATTTATATTTCATACTACTTGCTGTAATTGTGTTTCTTCATCTTTAAAAGTCTTTTGAAAATTATGATAACTTAAAATTGACAGGTTAATGTAGTGGTTGGATTAAAGGAGAATTAGCGGCTTCACAATGGTGTATTTGTTTTTCTTGGATCCTTTTATGTTAATATTTAATTAAAGGCCCCATTTGTTTTGACAATTTATTATTGGGCTATTTTAATCTTATTGTAGTTTCAAATTGTCTTCTCTTTCATGTTTTATGGAGAGAAATGTGCTTTTTCCTCTCTATTTAAATTTATATGGAATAAACTTTTGTGGATGATTTGAAGGATCTATCTCACTGTTGGTTGTTGTTGTTGTTTTTTAATTTATTTTGTTGCCTGGCATCTTTTATTAAATAATCCTTTGCTGGATGATTTATACCACCACCTTTGTGTTGCCCCTCCCCCTTTTCGGTAAAATAACATACATAAAATCAACTATTTTAGCTATTAAACTATTAAGTGTACACTTTAATTTTTTTTACATAACCATTTTTACTTCTAAGCTCTAGAATAACTTTTATCTTTCCAAACTGAAATTATAGTTTGCTTTCTATTGCTGTGATGAGATATCATGACCAAGGCAACTTATAGAAGAGTCTATTTGAGGCTTACAGTTCAGAAAGTGAGTCTGTGACCATCAGGATGAGGAGCATAGCAGGCACATAGGCATGGCACTAGAGCAGTAGCTAGGAGTTTACATCTGATCCACAAGCAAGAGCTAGCTGGAAAAAAGCTGCCACCCCCCCCCCCCCAGTGATATACCTCCTCCAACAAGGCCACACCTCCCAGTCCTTCCCAAACAGTTAGTTCCACCAACTGGGGACCAATCATTCAAATATTTAAGCCTATGGTGGCCACTTTCATTCAAGCCAGTGCCAAGTGCCTGCCTGTTAGACAGTAATTGTCACCTCTCAATCCTGAATAACCCTCACCTCCATTCTATACTTACCTTTAAGAAATTGGCTTTTTAAAATACCTTCTGTAAGTTGCATTATACAGTATTTATTGCTCTAGGATGGTCTTAGTTCACATAGCAAAATATCCTTAGGATTCATCTATTTTGTAACATAAGTCAAATTCTATTTGAAAAATTGAATAATATTTCTTTGTATTTCTATAACACATTGTGTTCATCCATTGATCAGATGATGGAGACTTAAATTGCTTTCACTTTTTGGCTTTTATGACATATTACAGGGATCGTGTGGTACTGATATCTCTTCAGGTTCTTTTTTAGTTTTGGAGTGTTTATATAGAGTAGGAATTAATGACTCTTTTGGTAATTCTGTCTTTAGTTTTTGTTTTTGAGCAACTGCTGTATTATATTCTATAACACTTCACTGTAGTCTGTTCCACCAGCAATTCATAATAATTCAGATTCCTCCACACCTTCAGCACATTTTAGGTTTGATGCAAGCCAATCTAAATTGCTGGGAAAATAGTATCTTATTGTTTTACTTAAGTCTTCCTAATGTTTTGGGAATATTGAGCATCTTTCATGCGCTTATTGGCAGTTCCTCATCTTTGGAAAAGATGATATTCATATTTCTTGCTTTTTTGTTGTTTTTTTGCTGTATGTCACATATCTAATTTACAAATTTGCAGAAGTTTTTAAACTTAATATGGTCCCATATTTCTGATTTTGCCTGTATTTCACTGTTGTATTCAAGAAATCATTTCCAAAACCGTGTGTGTGTGTGTGTGTGTGTGTGTGTGTGTGTGTGTGTGTGTGTACTTATGCATACATGTTTGTACACATGTGGTTCTGGTGTGTGTGTGGTACAGGTAGTTCTGGCTGTCCTGGAACTCACAGAGATCAGCCTGCCTCTGCCTCCTGAGTGCTGGGATTAATGGTGTGCACTATCACCACCTGGACAACAATTGATACTAATGTGTTTAGGTTTTTGATCTATTTTGTGTTGAATTTTGTACGTGATGTCAGGTAAGAGTTCAGCTGTATTGTTTTACATGTGAGTATCTTGTTTTCTCAATACTAATCTAGAAGCCAGCCTTGCCTGATGGTTAACAGTGGTGCATCCTGTTGTAGCTCCTCATAGACTGTCAGGAAGATCACAAAATTGAGGTCTGCCTGGCTACAGAGTGAGTTCTAAGCCAGCCTGGGCAACTAGTAAGACTCTGTCTCAGAAACTAGGGCTGGAGAAATGGCTTTGTAGTTAAGAGCACTTCTTCTTGCAGAGGACTTAGGTTTGGGTTTCAGTACTCACATGCTAGTACACATGTAACTCAGTTCCAGGGGGTCTGAAGCATTCTTTTCACCCTCGTGAACACCAGGCATATCTGTGGTGTACATACAGATAATAGGCAGAACACCAATGCACCTACAATTAAATATCTCTTTTTAAAAACTAAAAGGGGGTTGGAGATATAGTTCAGTGGGTGAGTGCTTGCTTAGCTCTAAATTCAGGCCCCAGCATCACATGCTATTCAATTAGTTAATTTTGTAACCAGAAATTTTTCTAAATTTTTGTATAGTTTTTCAGTGTAGTATACTAAAATGTCGTTATATATGTTATGGATGGTGGTAAAATTGTGATTTCTCAATTTTTGTCTGTTTACATGAGCTTTAAAATAACTTAATAGTACTATCTGCATATTAGATCTTTTGTTTACCTAGTAGAAATTAATTCATCACAGAGTATGATGCAGCTTTTGGCTTGAGGCTGACACCTAGAATGTTCTTGTAGTTTGACTTGTAATTGTAGGATTTTTTTCCCCATTATCAGAAATAGATTGTTAAGTCTGAAGCTATGAAGAAAGACTTACTAGAACTGATTTAGATTCACATGTATAACTTTGTCAGAGGACTCAACTGACATTTCTGAGCTTTTTTTTTTTTTTTGCTTTTTAGAATGGGCAGAGTTTTCTGGTCTTGGATGAGCAGAGATTTGCAAAAGAAATTCTTCCCAAGTACTTCAAACACAATAACATGGCCAGCTTTGTGAGACAACTAAATATGTGTGAGTATGACAGTGGTTTGCATGTAATGTTATTAACAACCACCGATTAAGCCAGTTTTTCTCACTAAAATAATAAGGTATGTTTCCATATAAGCTTTAATTTTTGACTTGTCTAATTTTAGTCATGTAAATTTGAATCTTTGTCAGATGGCTTCCGTAAAGTAGTACATATCGACTCCGGAATTATAAAACAGGAGAGAGATGGCCCTGTTGAATTTCAACATCCTTACTTCAAACAAGGCCAGGATGACTTGTTGGAGAACATTAAAAGGAAGGTGAGCTGCTGCTGATACATTAGCTACGTTACAGACCTAAGGCACAGCTATTTTGTTAAGCTGCTGGGTTGAAGAGTGTACAGAAAATGTCAGGTGTGGTGGTGCACACCTGTAATCCCAGCACTCAGGAGGCAGAGGCAAGAGGATTGCTGCAATTTGAGTCCTGCTCGGTCTAACTAGTGAGTTCCAGGCCAGGCCAGTTACTGGACCCTGTCTCAGTAACTCTCAATAATGACATATATAAATAATGAAAATGAATGTACAGAAATATAGGGAGATTCCTTATAGAGATGAACGAGACTAATAAATCTTTGATTAATTGTTCATCTGTTCCCAACACTTATTTCAGAGCTCAACTGTGCTGAGAGTAGTACAGTCTTTATTTTAACAAAAGAAGGAAAATATTCACTATATTGTGACAGAGGGTAGAGTTACCCATTGTAATGGGAGGGAAACTACTGCTAAAATGAGCTGTCTTTACTAAATCCATAGAACCCTGGTTTCAATTCCTGTCTCCAAGAAGTGGGAGGTGGTGGTGAAAAGGGGCAGGGGAATACCTATAGCCCAGTGGCTACAATATGTAAGTCTAATTAATCTAACATGTTTAAGGCCTTGAGTTTGATCCTAAATACTAAGAATAAAAACAAAAGGTGAAGAGTCCATGTAAGAAAATTACCTACCATGCAGCTGTATTATTACATAATTTTAATTAATGTGGATTATGATAATAAAGAGACTTGGAAATGAAATTTGGCAGAGGGGATAAAAAAGATCCTCATATTCCTGCTCAACATTTTATGAGATGGTTTACTCCTAAGTAGGATAGGGAAAGGGGGAAAAAATAAAGTGATTGTTCCTTGATTTCTGTTGTATTGAGCTATGACATTTGTTCTTGCTCTAGGATTTATGTAGAAATTTGTAACCATATCTCACTTCTTTACTAGGATACAGAGACTTCTCATGATAGGAAGTTTTGAATTACAATCATGGGGGCTTAGTATATATTTAATTTTCTAAATTTGTATTTTGGAAGGTTTCATCTTCAAAACCAGAGGAAAATAAAATTCGTCAAGAAGATTTAACAAAAATTATAAGTAGTGCTCAGAAGGTTCAAATAAAACAAGAAACTATTGAGTCCAGGCTTTCAGAATTAAAAAGGTAAAACATGTTATTTCCAAATATAATACTAATTTTATGGCGGTTGGGGTGTGTGTGTTGGGGTTTGGGGAGTGTCTGGTGTTTTACTTTAAGTAATCCTCAGTAGCCAAGATCAAAGATCTTTTTGTTTTCTGTGTCTGTTCCCTTTGCTTTTAGTTTGTAGCTGTAGACTTTGTCCTAATAACAGGTTTTAATTATGGTTGTCATAAGAATATATCATGGTGCCATGCAGCTGGTTTTGCTTATAGAATGGTAGATCTTTAAGGTAATGTAGTAAATACAGTTCTATGTAGATAATTTTCATATGACTTTCACATATAAATGAGGGCACACATTAGGAATCCTACATAACTGGTTGATTGTGTAGTAAATACAGTTTTACATAGATTAGTTTTCATATGATCTTCATACATAATTGACTTTCTTAAAATGTGTATCATTTTAAGATACTACTAGGCCTACTAGGAAAAAGTAGGTCACAGGAAATAAGAAAACACACACACAAACACACACAGAGTTGCCCTACTTAATACTGTACATAGACCCAGGAGAGGGTTACACAAACCTCTTATCTTCAAAACATGGCTTATCTTGTTTCACAACATTATTTTGTAGCTTTTTTCCTAATTGCCGCACTATTAACTTATATAGAGAGTTAGGTGCGTTTTATTCTTACATATCTGAGGTATTCCCTTAATAACAAAAGCCTGAGAGTAGATATTTCACACATTCTGTCTTACATTTTTGCTGTTAGTTGTTCCTAATTCAAATGTTTCCATGATGAGTGACTTTGGACTTTGATTCTTTGTTTGAATAAGCCTTAACCTTTTCAATTTTGCTTATATTATCTAACTAGTTGTGCTGTTTGCCTTATTCGTCTTCTGCTAATAGCATCCTTTAATCTAATTCAAGAATTTTATTATTTAATCATTCTTTAACTCTTAGAGGTAACCATCTTCTACCTCAGTAAACAGGTAGCAGCGTCTTAAAATTTGATTTTTGAAAACATACAATGATAATTTAGTAAGTATTGAAAGCAATTTCATTTTCTGAAACCTCTATGATTCTGCCCTTTTTGTTATAGTAATACAGATTACTTGAAGATAACTTTTGGGAGATTAATAGAAGTTAAAATAAGCCTTTGATAGTTGGATAATCCTTTTATGCTTTATTAGCTTGGCAATATTTAAATCTTGCCAGTTTCAGTTTTACAAAGTCAAGTAAGAAGGGAAAGCAATTATAGGTATTAGGTAAGTTATTGGACTCCTCCTTTAAAAACACCTTAGAGTTTTTAAAGCAAGTTCCTTGCTTTCTAGAGGGGTTGAGACAGATCTTTGGCTATTTTTGGGTCCTAAAAGACTTTAAATTTACTTTAATAGTTGCAGAGTTAATGGCTATGCTGTTGGGCAAAGTTCCTTCATCTATACAGCAAGATCCTGATTTTTATCTTGGCACTGTTATAGAAGTTGAAGTGATTCATACATGTAAGATGCTAAGCATAATGCCTGTAGCACGTCATGTGCTGATCAGTGTCCCTTTCCTTTGTTTCCTGAAGCAATTAAAAAGAACCTGAATATACTTCTATCCTGCTTATACTTAATTTATTTTTAAGCAAAAAGTACCAAGTCGTTATCAAAAGGAATAAATGACCTGGTCCTATATACATGCAAGTATGTATGTTAAGGCTTTTTACAAGTATTGCTGTGGCTAGTAGATAACACAGTTGAGAAGAAATAATTATAGCATAGGAGAAGCATAGTGATCGAGTATTTGTTGCTTTGACAATGTCTCAACTGTATAGCTTAAGCTAGTCTTGAATCTGTAGTTCTCCTACCCCTGGCTTGTCTACTCTCCCCTCTGAGTTGTGAAGTTCTCTGGCTTTTTTGATTAAAAGATGTTGTAGCTTGGTCTTCTGACCAGACCTTTCTTGTTTGGTTTTTAACTACATTTTCATACAGTGAGAACGAGTCCCTTTGGAAGGAGGTGTCAGAATTAAGGGCAAAGCACGCCCAGCAGCAGCAAGTTATTAGAAAGGTAAGAAGCCTTCTGTCCCCCACTGTGCTCTGCGCTTGCTTGATGAGTAGATAGTTTTACTGTCTTCAACTGTGTTTTTTGGTGTGTGCTATATTTGGGTTTAGTATAAAATAGTTTTAAAAGTTTCAAAATAAATTCAAGATATGGAGCTGAAAATTAATGAAAGAATTAGAATCTGTCCATAGTAGTGTGTGCGCTTGTCATTTAATCTTTACATTCCATTTGCTATTAAGGAAAGAAACATGAGAGTAATTAAGGTTTCTATTTTTTGCTTATGAGTAAAGTGGACTCATGGCAACAGGTTCTTTTGAGGGGCGGGCTGGGGAGAGATGAATCTTGTTCCTGCTTGAAAAGGCACATGAGCTAAAAATAAGCTTCTGAGTGACAGGATTTGGATCTAGTGAACCAGGCTTACAGCGGAGATGAATAGCAGTTGTCACATTTGGCCTATGATCAAAATAGTACACTAGTTTTGTAAAATAAAATAGAATATTAAGGTTAAGTATAATTGAACTCAATTCTCAGTGTTCCAAATATGTATAATTTTAAAACTTCTGTTGTTCTATTGCATAGCCCTGTTAAGGATGGCTTCGTTAAAATAACAGGTGTTTTTAATTTTGCACTTGATGAAAAGATGTGTTACTATTTTTCACAAAACTGCATTTGGTTAAATATTAGCTATTTAATCTGCATTGTTTTTTCCTAAAGCAAAGATAGCTGGTTAACACAGCACTTCAGTTTTTTGCCAATACTTTTTCTGTTCAACTTTGAAGTTTGAATTTGCTATATAACAGATAGGCTTAGTTGCAGTAACCTCTTTTAATCATGTTAAATTTCATAAAGCATATAAAACTCTATAGAGTCTGAAACAGTCCTCCAATGACTTTGGCCTTTATTCCAACACTGTAGCACTTCATTTCATTGTTACTCACTGTCTTCATAAAATTTCAAGTCATACCCTAAGCCAAACTGGTCAAATATTACCTAGAAGGCTAAACACTTAGTTAATGCATTCATTGCTGGGCCCGATCAGAATTCAGATTGGATATTTCTTAATTGAAGAACCGAGCTTATAAAATAAGGTTTGTTTATGTCTACCCATTTAATAGTTTTCCCTCTAAATTTAATTAGATATTTAAAATTTACTGTGTCTGTTACTTGGGCAAGCTTAGATGGATGTATCACAACAGTAATAAAAACTGCCCAGTACATTCTTTCCAACCTAAAAGTTTATGATGTTTTCTGAGTTAGTAACTCCTTTTGCCTCTAATTATATTATCTTTGTTGGGAAAATGTTACCTATCAAGCACTGGTTTGTCTTTCTTTACATCACACTTCAGTCTTCCTGAAAAACAGCAAATTTCAAATGTTAATTTGTGAGACGTTACAATGCCTTGGCATTAGTTGGTGTGTGTTTGGAATCATTTATTGAGAACACTTTGTGAGGGCAGAAAGCTGGATAGTAACTAATATGATTTTAATATGGACAGAATCTTTGATGGCAGAATCTTATTTACATTTTCCTCTCAGATTGTCCAGTTTATTGTTACATTGGTTCAGAATAATCAGCTTGTGAGTTTAAAACGTAAAAGGTAAGTTTGTTTGTTTTATTTTTGTTTTTGTTTTTTTTAGTTTTGATTTAGAAGTGTTGTAGTGTTTAAACATGAATACCTGTGCTTGCTGAGTATATGTCTGGTACTAAAGAAAAGCTCCCCCTTGTTAAATTATGTAAGCACTTGAGTTTCAAGAGCAGTGTCGTCAGGGTGAGGACCCCTACCACAGTGCTTAGGAAAGTAGAAATATTTGAGGCTGTAATTTTTTTCACATTTTAGGATGTTTACATACATATGAGGTAACTGTGATAACATGCCTGAAAGTAATTATATCTTTAATAATTTTGTAAATGCTGTGGTTTATGTGTCAAGCAGCTAAAAGGACTGAGATTTTTATGTTGATGGCCTTAACTGACCATGGCCCATCACATAAATATAAGTGGCTTTTCCATTTATGTTATATTAATGCTCAAAAAATTTATTTATTTGGAGATATGTAACCTGTTTATTGTACATGTCCAGCTTCATGCTGATTTATTTATTTTTTATTTGAGAAATAAGTCTAGATGGTCACTTTGTAGACCTGGGGGTGTTGAGGGTATTACTAATACTTGGCTTTTCATTCATATTAATAGTTTAGAGTAGCATTTGGAGGCCCCGGTGAGGAGAACTCTTTAAATATAGGTCATTTGTTGTGAAGAAGGGAGAGAATCAAATATTATTTGGTTTATTTTAACTGTAGTTGACAAAGTCTTTTAAAATCTTAATGATAGGTTGTAAATATACAGCTAGGTTTACAAATATACTAACTAGTAATGCCATTGTTATACCTAAACCATAAGAATAATTAACAAAAGGCACAGATAGGAGAAAAAGATGACTGACCTATAAGGCTAAGATTTTGGCAATTCATAATTGTCTGTGGCTTTAATTCTATTACCTCTTTTTTTATGATACCACTTTTTAAAAACTAAGAATATGTTGTAAGGAATTCAATAGTTGTTCAAGAATTCTTTTTATTGATGGTTTTTATTCACTAATAAGTATGCGTGAGGTGTTGTAAGTAAATTATTAGAAACCTTTTATTAGATTCCTTTTATTTATTTTTTTTTCTCTTTTGGAATCACATAAATATTGTTCTTATTTACAGGCCTCTACTTCTAAACACTAATGGAGCTCAAAAGAAGAATCTATTTCAGCACATAGTCAAAGAACCAACTGATAATCACCATCATAAAGTAAATTTTAATGTATTTTATGTTTATTGTCTCAAACTAAATTTTATTATGGCAGTGTTTCATGCAGTCAAAGACGTTTAGTGAATAAGAATGTAAGTGCTCACTCCCCAGCTCTATTAAATCATGACAGTTTCATTATTTGCTTTAGAATATTTTAAGAAATACATCATTACAAATAGTTGCTTATTTCCAAGTTTGTATTTTCCAATATTTGTTATTGCCATGAGTATTTTATATGTGTGTGTGAATTCAGGAATGCTGTTGTTATTTTGCATATATCCAAATTTCATATAGATGACATTATTTAAATACTCTGCAGTGTGACTTCCACTTTGGTATCAGGGATTGACTGAGCACAGGCCTCTTACCTGCTAAGCTTTTATTGTACCATTGACCAGTTTCTCAGCAGTGTAGCCTTTGTTACTTTCGGAGTTTATAAAACAAATGCAGTTTGCTGTGAAGCTGTATAAATGAGCAGTGTGATAATGTCATCATATTGTAATATGATTTGGGACTTCCTGCTGCTTCATTTCATTTCATTTTCTATGATAAGTATATACTCAATCAACTAGGTTACTTTTCTCTAGCAATTTCAAATATTTTTGTATACTTCTGTTTTTTTCTATAGACTTACCTAATTAGAGATTAGTCTACCATCAAACAAGTCTAAGCCTCTTTTTATGATACTGCTCTTTCATTGATAATCCTTTTTTCTTTTTTGATAGTACTAGAGATAAAACCTAAGCTCTAGCACGGCAAGGCAAATGTACCACTGAGTTATATTTTTAATTTGAATGTTAGGATTTTTAAATATTGTGTCAGGTTTATTATCGAAATGTTGAGGTTTTATTTCTTTGTCTTTTATTTTGCCGCCTCTGGCACAAAGCACAGTTAACTTCATATCAGAGTGTTCATCTTAACTTCATAGAGTGTTCATCCCACCTCTTTCTAAACCAAGTAGATGGAGCTTCATTTTTGGATTGAATGTTTTTATAAGTAGATGGGTGTTTGTTTTTGTTTGGTTGTTTGTTTTAGTTTAACTGAAATATATGTATTTTTAAAGTGTTTCATGTATATTGGATTTTTTAAACTAGAATTTATTTATCTTAAAGCACTTTACATCTTTTACCACTGTCATCTAGTGTTAAAACTTTACAATTTTTTACATTATAATAATGATTTCTTTGCTTTTAGAGAACTGAATTTCTTAGTGTAACTGACTTGAATGTACCTACACATTTTTTCTTTTGGTGGTACTGGGGGTTGAACCTATGGTCCTATGCTTCATTTTGTGATAGGATCCCACCAAGCTGTCTGGGCTGCTGTTGAACTCACTCTGTAGCCCAGACAGGCCTTGAACTCAGGATTTTCCTGTCTCAGCCTCCTGAGTAACTAGCTGGGATAATAGGCCTGGGCCATCACACTACCTGTGTATCTGCATCTTAACATTAAAAAGAGTAAGGTGTTGGTAAAACAGCCAAAGTGATCTCTAACTAAGGAATTGTTGCAAGTTCTGTGTATCTCTTAGTGAAGCTATTTATTTAATACGTAAGAATAAAGCCTCTTTAGACTTAGGAGGTTCAGATAAGAGCAGCCACTATCAGTGCAGTGGCTATGTGATCATGGTTGAAATTTCTGAAGGCCTAGAACTTTTTCACTGTTTATCTATAAAAAGTCCTTTAGAATTTGATGCTCTCCATAGAAACATGCTTTGGGCATGTCATCTTCAGAGTCTCTGACAGTAAAGTAATTTGTTGTTAAGTAGAATTTGGGTATATACTTGATGGCGCTATCAAATGGTATTGTAACTCATTGCTGTGTGCCTCTCAGAAGGGCAGAGGACAAAGATGTTTGTTCACTGTCCTCAGCATTTAGCAAATAGGATGCGTTCAGCTTATTTATTTAATGATATCCTCTGTAGTAGTCCATATGTTCTTTTTTTCTCCTCATTCTTTAGGTTCCACATAGTAGGACAGAAGGTTTAAAGTCAAGAGAGCGGATTTCAGATGACATAATTATTTATGATGTTACTGATGATAATGCAGATGAAGAAACTATTCCAGTTATTCCAGAAACTAATGAGGATGTTGTGTCTGATCCCAAGTAAGGAATTGTGAAATAGTGTTTGGGAAAGTGTTCATCATTGTTTTTTACCAAATAATTAAATTAAAAACCCTAGTTCTTTGAAAAACTATTTTTTTTCTCATATTTAGTTTGGAGTGCTAATCTTTTTCTCATATTTGGTGTACCACCTCCAAACAAGAAACAATGGAAGTAGATTATTTTTATTTGGAATTAAACCTTTTCCCTTGATTTTGTAGTTTCCTAGCTTACAAATTGTCAAAATTTGGCTTAAGCCACTTACTCCAGAAAAGGAAACGTCTTAATAAGTGGTTTGTAAATTCTACCAGAGAATGAAAATGAATTTGCCTTCTCTAAAGTTGTAATATTTTTTTCTCACATCACTGCTGTAGCTGCAGCCAGTATCCTGACATTGTAATTGTTGAAGATGACAATGAAGATGAGTATGCCCCTGTCATTCAGAGTGGAGATCAGAGTGAACTAGCCAGAGAATCATTAAGTTTGGGAAATGCTGGCGGCAGCCCCCTCATGTCTAGTGCTGTGCAATTAAATGCCCCATCCAACATGAACTCTGAGGATCCTGTGACCATGATGGATTCCATTTTGAGTGATAACATTAACCTCTTGGGAAAGTAAGTATTTGTCTAGATGTTTTTAATTATTCAGTTCAATAATAAACCTGAAGTAAATATTGAATTTCTATAAATTCAAAGTAATAATAATAACTGATACTGACCCTGTCTTGTCTCTTTTTCTATTGATCCAAGTTGAACTCTGTCGTCAAAGGGATTTAATAGTCCCGTGAGTAGTCTTGGAACTTAGTTGAGCAATTCTTTAGATTTTTTAAAAAATTAAATTCTTGTTGTAACTGTAAGGTATTTGTGCTTTTGACTGTACCAATTCTGTATACTAGTGTAGTTTCTATTAAGGAACACATTTTGTTAGAAGTATAGTTATTTATAGTATAGAAGTAATCGAGTAATGAGAAAGTAGAGAAGAAAAGGCTAAAGCACATCTGTATGGCAGCACATCTTTTCTGAACATATTACATTTGGGTAAAAGGTATGAGTTTTCAGTTTTCAGAAATCCCAAACCTTAAATGTGATGTCTTCAGATCTGGTAAGGACTTAGAAGTCACTACCCTCATTCTGTAAAACTAGCTCACCAGCAGTGGTTTGAAATGTAAGATCCAGAATACTTAATAAATATGAAATTGTTCCTTTTTTTTTTTTTTTTTTTTTTTTTTTTTTTTGGGGGGGGGTTGGTAGGATTATCTTGATAGCATTGATTGCAGTTTAGAGGACTTCCAAGCCATGCTCTCAGGAAGACAGTTTAGCATAGACCCAGATCTTCTGGTTGATGTAGGTATTTGGGATAATCTTTACTATACTGGTAGCTTGTATGTATGTGTGCGTGTGTATGTTGCTTAAAATCAGTACTTTTTTGTATTTACACTTTGTGCATTTTACTTTCTTAATTAATGATTTTACTAGGAATTGTAAACAGGCAGATATATGGGACAATGATGTGTGATTACTGTCTGCCTCTGAGAAAAATTGCTTTCCTGTAACAACGCACCATTCTTTTCAACATTGCTACCTCTAAATACAGCTTTTGTCTAGACTTGTTGCTGAGTGTTACTGTGTGTATATTTTAATCTAGAATAAATTGTCACTGAATAAAGATACTTGGGGAATTGACATTTTCTAGTAAAATTCCTTTCATTATATTTGCTATATTTGTATGTCTTGAATATGATGCCCTGTTCCAGTCTTTGTCACCATCTGTGTGAACTTACAGTCTGGACTGATAATTTTTCCTCTGATTTCAAGCCTTAAGCACCTTTCTCACCTGTTTTGCTTTTGTGCTCTGAGTTCTTCTTAACTACCCAAAGCTTTCTAGATTCCCCTCACTTGTGCTATTCGCATCAGTCTTGTTCTTTCCTCTCTTTCCAAGATCTATTTATTTTGAGAGACGTTTTTGCCTTATAGTGAACCTTCAGTCATATCAAAGGATTCCGTAGAATTATCACTTTAAGAACTTCTTAATGATGCCAGAAGTAATTAGTCCTTTCTTACTTTTCAGTCTAATTTGTGGTTAATTAATCATTTTCATCTCTTCTCATGAAATTAGTCTGTCACATAGCTTAGACAACCTTCCTGAATCATCAGTACCACACAGGATTGTATTTCACTATCCTTAAAGATTTCCTTCCCATGCTGACCTTGTTGCCATGGTAAGTGAATTAAGATTCCATGTGATAACCTATTTCACCTTGATAGCAGTAACCTAACAAACCTCCTTGAGTCCATCAGACCCTTTCCCAATTCTGAATGTGGTATTAAAGACTTAAGAGTTCTGGCTATCTACAAATCCTTATGGTCTTTGGATCATTTCAGTTTTACCTTTAATATTTACTGAATTCTTACTCAGATTCCCATATTTGCTGAGAATAATTCACTGTGCTCCAGGCCTCAAGCCATGGCTCCTTGCAGTTTTGTATCCTTTCTTGGAGAAAATAACTTAATGCCTCCTTCAACCAGTTCAGTTTTCTGTCCTTGGGGTGGGTGGGTGGGTGTGGGTCTCTCTATCTCTGTCCCTCTGGTTTTGTTTGTTTGCTTTATCTATTTTTTCATCTGCTGGACTGGTGGAAGATGACTTGTTTTGAATTAGACAGGTCTGAGTTCTGATACTGCTTATTAATACTTACTGGCCTTAGAAGAGGTGGCTTTCTTTTTTAAGACAGGGTCTCATGTATACACTAGGCTGGCCTTTAATTTGTTACATAGCTGAGGGTGATCTTGAGATTCTGATCCTCCTGCTTCCCCCCTAAGTGATAGGATTATAGGCATGCACTATTAGACCTTTATACCCAGTTTACACTGTGGTGTGATTAAACAGATTTTCATGTTTGCTACACAAGCACTACCAACTGAGCTACGTCCCCAATATGGAAAAATTGCCTTTCCCAGTTTCGTCTGTTAAATAGGGCTGATGATTAGCATGAAGAGCTACTGGAGGAATTACAAATAATTAAGCCTACTATTAATGCTTCATTTAGTACTGTAGTGGGTCTACAGGAGAATTTGTTTTGATTTTGAGACAAGGTCTCTCATAACACAGACCCGCCCTCCTCGGAGCTAAGCTTCCCCCTCCCACATGCGTCATATGCGGGTCTCAGCATCTTTCTTCTCTTGTCTTCCTAAACATTCCGTTTCCTATAAGAACTTTTCTTTTTTCTGATGTCTTCTACTTTGGGGCACTTAGTTTTGTATCTTTTTCTTTCCTCCTCCTTTTTTTTTTTTGTATTTATTGCCTTTCTGTTCGTCCTCTATGAAGACATTTTGACATTATCCTTTTCTGAAATTTGTAGAGTAAAGTTTTTGTCCTGCCTGGTTCCTTGGCTGTTTAGCGCCACATGAACACACAGGGATATCTATTAATTATAAGCTGTTGGCCGATGGCCTATGTTTCTTACTGGCTAGCTGTCTCTTAATTATTAACCCATTTTTATTAATCTAAGTTTTTCCATTTCCCTTATCTTACCAAAGAAGGGTCCGGACTGTTAACTCCTTCCTCAGCTACAAGGCATCCACTCTGCCTGCTTCTCCCCAGTATTCTTCTCTAGCCCCTCTTATACTTTCTGCCTGGCTACTGGCCAATCAGTGTTTTGTTCATCAACCAATAAGATTAACATATATCCAGAAGGACATCCTCTATCAGAAATGCATGTATCTCTGTTTCTTAATACTTTAAAATGCAAACATGGCTCGAATTCCACTCCACGACTTCAGGATATTCTGCTTTATCTGCCTATCTTTAGATTATTTAAGTTCACTTTCAAAATTTTCTTTATTTCTTATTCCTGAAATGATATACTCATTTACAGCATTCTTCATTTTTACAGTAATATTAACTTTCCTGGGGTATATATTACCAGGATCACTTTGAATTTTTTTTTAATCTTATCACTAGGTACTTTTTTTTTTGTTAAAAATAACATTAACAAACTGCCCTAATTTGTATTTTAACTTCTCTCATCCAAGACTTATATCACCCATGAATTAGATTGTAGTGTCATAAATTTTAAAATCTACAAATCTACTTCTGGCTTGCTTTGTTCTCCGAAATGGATGGCTTCTCTTTACATTTTTTTTTTTTTATTTCTTATATCAGTAGGAGGTCATTGGGACTTAGAATTCCAGAAGTTGTGTATATTTTGTATCTTCTTATCTTCTGAGAGTATGTATGAGATACTTCTAAGGCAGTGAATAGGGTTGTGAGGCACAAATAGAGACCGAAGCTTACATTGCTGGCCTCACTCAGGTGCCATCCTGTCTATAGATACAAAATTGCATCAGCCTTCTCAGAATAGTCACAGGCTGGATTGATGTCTTCAGCAGCCAGTGGGTGATATGAAAAGAGCGGGAAATAAATGGAAAGAGAGCGATGGTATTTTTTATGACAACTGAGGTTTTGAAAGGAGTCCGTGTCTAAAGAGAATGGAAGAAGAAAGATAACTGTGACCTCTGCATTTCATTGATTGTGAACCATTGGCTCTGGTCATTATCATAAATGCGAACCTAATGCCTGTTAGGTGCTCAGATAACTCTTAGGGATCTTATTCCTGATAGGACGTGCCGTCATCCTCTGAATGGCTTTGCACTGCTTCTTTTAAATTTTTGTATGTAACTGTTCAAGTCAGAACTTCGGTTATTTGCATTTGTCTTAACCATTTCTAGAACACACTGTGCGTTCTTGGTGTTACTGTAGCTCAGTACTCTTCTGTCTTCTAAATTCTTACTGTTCTCTTGGGATTTTGATGCATAGCACCATTGTGTGCACACCTGTGTATGTGCTTTCCTCTTGTTCTCCAAACTCTTAGTACTTTCAAGCTCTACTAATTATTGGGAAACTGGGTTGGGTATAAGTTGGCTATTTAATGTCAGTATTGTCTTTTAGATTGTAAGCTCCTGAAGAGCAGAAATAAAGTTTTCAAGGTGTCAGTGATTTCTTATTTTGAAGCTTATGACATAAAAGTTGTATTTATGAATTGACTGGACTGAGGACAGCTCATTGACATTATTTTGGCACTTACCAACTTCTTTTGCTACGTGAAAAATAAAATGAAGTAGTTATGCCATTTTGTCAGAAGGCTGCACTTGATAGGTATGTTAGGTTTCACTGTCAGAATAGGTTCTATGAATTTGTCACCTAATTAGTAGTTATTCAATGAGTGCTTAGTTTCAAGACATGAGACTCGGCATTTGGTGCTACATATGGCCAAGGAAGTTCAGGGAGAAAAACATAAAGATAAGAAATTGAATGGCATTTAAGGAAGGACAAGAATTGTGGGAAACTATTCCAAATGATCAATCCCCTGTAGAGAAATCCTTACAACATAAAACTCCATCTAGTGCACGGCCAGCTTGCTCTGCCTTTGTTTGTTTTTCTTTCTGCTTTCTTGCTTTTCCAAACTTGTTTTAATCTGTGGAAACTTCCCAGTGTAGGAGTGACATCCCTTCACTCAACATGGTTGTATAAAATTTTTTAACACACAAATCTTTTTAAATATTTTTTTAAACTTATCGTTTTTCTTGTTTGGTCTTTCAGCTTTTCACTAGTTCTGTGCAGATGAATCCCACAGATTACATCAATAATACAAAAGTAAGTTTTAATTCATGTTGCTCAGGACCCATAGCTATAAAAATATGAACAAGTCCTTGTAAACATACATGGAAAACAGTGTCACTCTCAATTACAGAAGACATTTTGTATTCTTACCTAAAGTGTGGGATTGAGACATTAAAGTACTAGATAGAAAATTAACATTTGGTTATGGGGTTATTCTTTATTGCCCAATCTGCTGGCACATGTGGGATTCACTCTCAGTATAAAATCGGCCTCTTAGTGCTGGGCAATCAGCTGGCCCTGGCTTGTTCAGTGTCTCTTTGAAATAACATGATTAAAATAAAATTTCTGCATTTTATATTCTTTCCATATATAATTATTCAGCTATTTCAGTTGAAAATAACTGGTTCATATTTCTTTTGTAAGTTTCTTAATTAAAAACAGTTAACTAAAGCAAAGGCAAATTTTACTAGGTAGGAGCTAGGAACTCCAGTTGAACTTAGGAAATTGACAGGAGATTCTTAAGGTCAATCTGTCATGGCAGATGCTTATAAATCTTTGTTATTTTTTGTATAGCTTAATTGTCTTGTCTAGTTTACTCCCCATATCTAATATGTATACTTAATTGTTACCAATCAAGTTTGGATTCTGGATTAGTGAAGTCAGTTGCATTCTTGTCCTTTGTAATGTAAAGATGAGATATCTCAAATAATATGGATGATTATAGAGTTGATGAGTTGAAATTTTGTATTGTCATGTGTAAGGAGATCACCTGGCCCATTTTCCTACAGTTTTGAAGGTTCAACTTGACTGACATAGAGCCTCAAAACTATGAAATTGTAGAGTAGGAAGTTCATCATTCAGACATATGGCATGCTGTTTCTGTAAACAGCCAAACTTACTAAATGCTTTTGGATTTATAGGTTGTATGTGACAACTGTGAATGCTGTAATTGTAGATTAAGCAGAATGTGTGGATGTATTTTGATAGACATTTTAAATAAAACCTGGCAGTAAGCTGAATTTCACTATCATTTACCTAGGCTTATAGTATGGATATTTTGTCAGCATACTGTGTGTTATTAAGTCACATCCTATTTTAATTTAGTGAATATGCTTTGCTGTTTATTGCCAAAACTGAGTCATTGTTCTTTAATTATCCTCTTTATTCTAGAAACCACTTAGAATTTTCAGAAATATCAGTAACAGAAAATTGCATATTTGCTTTCTGATCTTATGAAATGTATTTAAGAGTGATGTTTTATTACAGTTCTGTGTTCAAAGTAATTGCAAATACTGGTATTTTTATTTCTTATTCCTTTGTTCATGACAAGACATTATGGCATGTAACATAGTATTTTCTTAGTCTGAATATCTTATATTCCATAGTGTAGCTGAGTTGGCCATACCAATGAAAACGAACTTGCATGGGAAAAAATTCATAATCATGGTTCTTAGATTAGAATATCAACAGTGGCATCCTTGGGAAGTACCTTTTTCAAGGAGTATAAAATGTATTAATATTTATGTATTAAGACTTCTCTAATTGATGAACTATTTTTACTTAAATTATTTGGAATGGCCTAGTTTTCATCTTAGGATCATTGTCTTTCTTGAATCTTAGAAACTTCTATTGTTTCATTTTATTATAGCTATCAGAGGAATATAGGAATTATACAGAGGTTTGTTATGCCATGCATACTAAAGCAACATTTAGCAATGTGGTACATAGTATTACCAGAAGTAATTGAGACTGACTCATCCACAATTCAGAATTTCAGCACTGCTGAAAAGGTGACTGACATCTCAGCAGCACTGTAGATTTAAGTCTCCCTATGAACCAGAAGGGAAGAAGACAACCAAAATGAAATAAAAGGACCTAAGGTATCACAGAAAGGACAAGAAGAAACCATCACAGTTGAGGCTTCCAAGAGCAGGGATAGGTCACAGATATCACTGTGTCGTCCTTCGCAACTCTGAGTACATTTCTCTATGCTAGCTCTTCTGTTCATGTGAAGACTATTGTACGATGCATTTCTAATCACAACTGTTTAAAATGTATATTTAATTATACCCTAATATATAAAACCACCTGTCTTTGATTTATTCCCATCTTTAGTCTTTGACAATTCTGTCTGTCCTGTAACTGAAAGGCTTTTCTTTTCTCCTACTTCGGGTACATTGTTCTGACCCTTGAGGACAAGTTTCTTAACCCAGTCTGGTTAATTCCCATGAGATTTTCCTCTTTAGCTCATCTTCCTGGCATTCCCCTTTCCAGCATATTTCAGATGTGTTGATGTTATTTTATCAGTTTTTAAATTGTGATACCCTTAAAGAATGTAAAATGTAAAACAAGTATTTTTATATAATTTATTTTCTTTTAGTCTGAGAATAAGGGATTAGAAGCTACCAAGAGCAGTGTCATTCAACAAGTTTCAGAAGAGGGAAGAAAATCCAAGTCTAAACCCGGTAGGTATGCAAGTAGTCTTAATTTCTGTAGGTTGTTTAAGAGTTTCAATATAGAATTTAATGCAAACCATGGAAATACTGTCATACTAAAGAGCTGGGTGGGCTGGGCTCATAGCATAGCACATGCAAAGAAAGCCCTGGGTTCAATCCTTCAAGTGTAGTTCCGCACTACAGAAAACAAAACTCATACAAAATAATGAAGATGGACTGCTGCCCTGGCTTCTGTGGGTGGTGTCTTAAGTTTCTAGTACCATAAAACATAAATGGTGAGATAATGGTTTCTGTAGTTTGAACTTTTCCCCCTTATTTAACATTAAAGATGAATCTTACAGCTAAATTGAATTAGAGTTAACTTTCCTGACTTACATGTTTTAAAACTTAGTGGTATTAAGTATATAATTTCTCACTTGGCTATATAAAAGTATGTTTTCTGATCTTTATAGATAAACAACTTATCCAGTATACTGCCTTTCCACTTCTTGCATTCCTCGATGGGAACTCTGCTTCTGCTATTGAACAGGGGAGTACAGCAGCATCATCAGAAGTTGTACCCTCTGTAGATAAGCCCATAGAAGTCGATGAGCTTCTGGATAACAACGTTGATGCAGAGCCAACCCAAAGCAAGATTGTTCGGCTGGAACCACTGACTGAAACTGAAGCTAGTGAAGCCACACTGTTTTATTTATGTGAACTTGCTCCTGCACCTCTGGATAGTGAGATGCCACTTTTAGATAGTTAAGCCCCCAAATGGACACTGTATGTATATATTCATCAAAATGATGAAGTATTTATTTTAAAGTATCATTTGGTACTTTGTTTTGTAAATTACTTTTTGTTTAATCAGATACTGTGGAATAAAAGCACCTTTTGCTTTTCTCACTCACCACACTCTTGCAAAGCTTTCAGGTGTTACTCGGCTGCCTAGGTATATAAATTTTAATGAACATTATTGGAATATCTTAAGTTGACTTCAAATGGCCATTTTCTCCAGTTGTAGTAACTTGGATTTTTTTTATATGCAAATATAACCATTTAATCCCAGTTAAACTTGTTTATTTTCAATTGACTTTAAGTGTTTAGAACTAAAGGTAGAAAACTCTGGTCTAGTTACTTTTATTATTTTTGACTTGGCTTATTTTTAAAACTGGGAACATAAAGTGCCTGTATCTTGTAATATTTCATGTCTTTGTTCAGAGAAATTCTTTTATGTTCAGAGAAATGTATTCTCAACAGAAAAGGCAAAGTGTACACGAGTAATCACTCTGAAGGGGTTCCATAGAAAGAACTCGGAAACAGGTTGCAGTTAACCCTGTCCACTTAGACTAGGTTAAGTATCTTTTCTGGTTTGTTCTTTTGAACCATGGTATTTAGTAAAATAAATGTGACGGATGTTGAGTACTAGTATTGTGTCGTCTTTGGAAGTGGTGGCCACATGAAGTGATTTTTTCCTTCACGTAGGAAGAGGTAGCTTTAAACTGTTCCATCATCATCATACTGAGTCACATCAAGATCTTCGTGCTTTATGTGAAAAAAATAGACTGTTGCAGTAAGGAAGGAATATGATGCTTCTAATCTTACGTGTTTTGTTCTTTGTTTAAGAAGTATACTGGCTTGCTTTTTATCTTTCTAATAAAGAACTAAGAGAAAACAAGGTGAGAACATTATCAGTGGATGCTGCCAGATTTTTTGCCCTCACAGAAGAGAATCATCAACTTGTCCCCTTCAAGAATTGTAGAGACCTTAAGGCCAAGAGTACTTTAAAACTTCAAGAAGTCTATACTCAGGCAGAGGGCTCCAAGCAATGCAGTTAATACCCAAATATTACATATAATTATGCAGTAGGTATTTCAAGAAGGCTTTTCTGTTGGCCTTTTTGTGCCTTAGGTATTAATTTTTCTTCCATGTGGTAAATTAGAGATCTAATTAATAGTAGAAATGAAGTTTAGCATTCTCTGGTCTTTTCTGATCCCTTGTTCAGTTCTCCAGTCTATTCCTTCATTGGCTTCCTGCAGAGAAGTACACAGCATCTAAAAATGTCCATTCACAAAAGGAACACTTGGCTTTCCAAATCAGTTTATAGGAGAGCCACCCAGCCCTCCTGCATATAATCACTCATCTTTGATTATGACAAGTTTTTGGTTTGTGAAAGCTTTTAGTGTTCAATGGTACAGAATAGTCCAAATTTTGTGAGCTGTATAAACAGATTTTTTTTTTTTTCCCACAAATACATCCTTTACTGGGATAAACAGCATTCAAGCTTTAATAAAGGCTGTTGGAATCAGTTTTGGGTTTTTTTTTTATTGATATAAAAATTTTCATGTATAATATAAAGGAAATTTTTGTTATAATAAAACTTAACTTTCATAATTATACAGCTAGTCATCAGTTATGGTTAATTTTTCTGAAAGCAGAATGTCATAGATAAATATGAAAATCAACAAACATGAAACTGACCCTCGATGCCATCTGCCCAAGTTTGGGCCTGATCTGTTCAGAGGAATCCAGATCTTTCCTCCTGCATAAAGGTCATACACTACTGAAGAGCAGAGCAAATACATTATGTAAAAGGAAGGAGGTACCGGATGGACAGTGTCCTGTCCAAGTCAATCAATTGATCTAACCCTCTTCCAGTCAGCCCCCGCTGACTTCTGCTGCTTCCAGGCAGGAGGGGCTTGTCTGAGTCTTTGCAGCTTAGCTCTTTTCTGAAGTGAACTCGGCTTTTATTGCTTATTTTGGCAGGAAGGGGCCTAGTGAATCTGATTGGTTTCAGGAACTTCCTGAAGCTATTTTGAGTTGTTTCCCTTAATTGCTTCTTATTATAGGATGCAATGTTTTAATCTCAGAGGAAACTTACATAATGGGTGGTGTTTCTTTTGACCCTGGCTGTCCCCTGCAAATAGTCTTTGGTCTAGCCACCACATCTTACATACATATTTAGGGGATAAAGGGGCCCCAAAGAAACAGTATGGTAGGTACATCAGTCAGTTCCAAATATAGTAAGATTGATTATATTTTTTATTCAAAGTTATTTTAAACAGGCTTAATGAGTACATAGTTTTAAATGCTCTCAAAGCCTATTATTAACTTTGCCACAGGCTAAAGTTTGGTTTGCAAAGGCAGCCTACAAATAGTATTTCTTAACATGACATTCCCACATTTTGTGATTTGTTTTACACTAACACAGATTTTGAGTTGTTACTTATTTCCTTACTACTTGGAGCCCATGTTTAATCATTCACACACTGAAAGACAACTATTGTCTAGTTTTGGCTATTACAAACTGCTGTAGTTGCTAGAGACCAGAGTTCAGTTCTCAGAACCAGTCAGGCAATCCACAACCATTTGTAACTAGACCCAAAGAATCCAGTGCCCTCCCTTGGCCTCAAGTTTGTCTGTCTCTGTCTCTTACAGAGTTACAGTATTTACAAATAAAATATACCAAAGTTTGGCAGCTGCTATGTCAAATATTCCCATGTTGATGGCTGCTTCCCACAATACTAAGGAGTAATAGAAACTACAGAAGGTAGTTGTGGGCATGTCCTTGAAAATGATATAATCCTGGCCCCTTTTTAGGGGTGGAGTCTGGATTCTGGAATCTTGTTCTGCCATGGATTCTCATTGGCATGGTAACTAGACAAACTGTTAAATAATCTCATATATTCCATTATTGTGAAAGTTAATTCACAGAGATATTATAGTGAAAGTTAATTCACAGAGATATTTTGTCAGTACAGTTATGTACTAGTTCATGTCTATGCCAACTACAAATAGGCTAGTCATTTAGAAATAAAAAACCTCAGTTGAAAATAGGCCCCCAACTATACTGACCAGTAATAAAAGCAGGCAAACCAAATCATACGGAGCAAGTCAGTGAGTAAGCAGCACTCCCTGAGTAGTTTATGGTCATGGGGTTTTATCACAGCAACAGAAAGAAACCCTGAGACATTGTTCACCACACTGACCACAACTTTTAAAAACATGGCTGGTGAAAGACATAAGGTGTGCATTTTCAGTTTTCAGAACTAAAATGCATTCTCCAAACTGGACTGGCTCACCTACTGAAGTTCTTTAGAGGTAAAAATACCACTTCACTTTTGAGAACCAAGTTCAGGATTCATTTACAAACACAAAAGGGGTAAAACTACTTTCAAAATAATTCATTTATTTGTCAGGGCAGAAAGTGGGTATTTCCTCTGTAGAACCAAGTTCTCTTCACACAGGAAAAAGAAATCTTGAGTTAAATTCACAATGCTAAGAACTACCACCACACATTTTCTCTGAATTCATTTATTTAAGAGACAGAACAGCCATTCAAAATTGTGAAACACAATATTAACAGTAAGTTTGGGAAATTAAGGGTAATTGTTATATTCCATGTGCAGAATAAATATTTTTAAAGAAGCAAATGTAAACTAAGCTTTACTAAATACTGATTTACACATAAATAAGTATTTTTATCTAAATCAAGTTGACTATCAACTACATGGCAGTAAATACAAACATTTTAAGCAATGTTTAAATGTATAGTGTAATACAATGTAAGTAGTCTATTCTAACAAGTTCATTATACTCCTGGACTTCATGTTTGGATAAAAAGCATGCTGAACAGCAGCAATACATATCACACAAATTATCTACTATTAATGATTTATTAAGTGAATAATGCATTTTGGATACAAAAGTTTTTATGTCTGAATGTTGGCTAGTTTTGGAAACAGTTTCTCAACTTTGCCACTAACTAGCTATCTGAGCTAGTTGAGCCTGTGCTTCAACTTCCGTTTTTAAAGTAAGAGCTGGACTAGATCTTAAGTACCTAACCCAGAGCCTAATACTTCATGTCCTGTTGGAGGGTTCCCAGTTTGGATTTGCAAATGTTTAGCTTCAAAATTTTCTAACACATGATTTTCCTTTTTAAAACCTTGAACAAATGTTTCAGAGCTGCTAACATCTCTATGAAATTCATAATTGTATGTTTGTAAAGACCAAACAAAGTCCATTTTGTTGGTGAAAGCCACCCTTTCTTAGAGAGAAAGTCATGATCTAAGATCTTAAATCTCATGGTCTATGAGTATTCACTTACTATGAAGGCTTTTGTCTGTTCCTTAGCCTCCCTCCACATTGTAACTTTTCCATTGAACATGAACATTCTGTACCTAGTAAGAGAAAAACCTGACAAACCTAAAGTGACTTGCATTTTTCAGACAACTAGTTTGTGACTTATTTACATAATATTAGAACAGCTATTTGCTTTGCAGTTCTCTGTAAGGCAACACACCAAGTATTTCAAAAGGCAGCCATAGTTATGTTTCTAAAATAGCATAAGGTCTAACACAATTTTGAAACCAACTGTCAAGAATTCTTGTCACTTTAATTTTCTATGTACAGAGTAGATGATATGCCTATCGGTGTCCACCTTTCCTAATTTTACTATCTTATTCAAAATTCTCCCTTTGCGATTCATATCATCAATACACTTAGCAAGGATGTGGAAAAAATGGCAGAGTAAATCTAATTCATGCAAGAGATAAACAGTTATACAACACACATACAACTTTACAAAAATTGGGAATACTGCTAATGTCAAATAAACAATGACCAAAGTGGGACTTTCATGCCAGAAGTCCGATTCAGTCAAAATCACGATTTGTGAGAACAAGTGGTGCCACCAGTGTCCAAACATACAGCACAATTCCAATCCAGCTGGAAGAGATTTTCACCCAGACTGCTGTCCACTGACTCTTCATCTCACGAGAAGGCTCGTACCTAAAATTTGAGGAAACTTTGGTAAGTGGACTGTGTTACTAAGCCATCAAGCCCCTTCACTCAAGCTTCCTTTGTATGGAGTTGTGAGACCAATGTGCTAGTAGCTCATCCTGCTGCCATGCCTTCCATACTGATACATCAGGAAAACTTCCTTTGAATACAGCACAGAACTCTGAGGCTGATCTTTTGCACAGTTCTGAGGCACTGTATGTAATTCTATGTTATTAAATAAGAGTAGATGAGACCTGAGTAAATAATATATACCTTATGTACAAGGCTGAAAGATTTATGGGCCTTCCTTCTCAGCTAACACCACTTCCTCTCCTCAAATTTGACAGATGGAGAAGGAAATATATCCTTAAGTTGGCTGATTTTTGTATACAAATAGAAATATACTTTTTTTAAACTATCAATTACTGAGAGATATATATAGCTTAGCTTACTTAATAAGATGTAGTTTAAGAATATGGTAAAATATACTTTTTCATAAAAATGAGTAAATACTAACCTCAAAAATATCAGGGAAGGATATTTTTTCTCCATCTTTTGCTGGTACAATAAATAATCTTATACACTATTTAAAGGTATGCATTAAATATTGTAGGGGAAGCTGTAGCCACGCCTTCTTAGGGGCTGGCTACAGGAGTACCTGAGGGCTTGTGAGGGCGTGGTCAGAGTGAGTAGGGGGACTGCGTTTTGGTTTCGGTTTCTCTTTGCTTCTTGCTGTACAGACTACCACCGGCTGGCTGGTTCGCTCTGTAAGTAAGGCTTTTCCCTATTAAATACCCTTATATTTCTCCCTGACTCCGTATTGGTAATTTCCTACTATAAAATATTATTGAAAACATGCTTGTCCAACCATGTTGGTAAATGTCAATCTTGCTTAGAATCTTTTGACAATCATTTTAGATAAAGTCACTTTAAAAATAAACTGTTTAAAAATAAACTATAAATTGTTACTTTTCTCAGGAAAGTATTGATGAATTAATTTTGAAGAGCTAATAAACACACTTAAGAGAATACTAAAAATTATATCACGTAATATATTTGCAATCAAAAATTTTCAGATTTTCTTATATCTGATACTTTATGTGTATGATTGTTTTACCTCTATGAATGTCTCTGCATATGGTGCCCATGTCTATACAAGTTTATCAGATCCCCTGGAACTGGAGTTACAAAAATTATCATATGGGTCCTAGAAATTGAATCTGGGTCCTCTAGAAAAGCAGCCAGTGATCTTAACTAGCGTCATCCATCTCACCAGCCCAGCTTAATGATACGGTTTTAAAAGAACCATTGTTTTTAAAACTATATATTATCACTATTGTATGTTAGGAATAAATTTACAGTATTAAAACTTAAAACTAAACAGTATGTTAATCAACTATTAACGTGCATTTCTGTTAAAACATGGTTATATAAAGTTTCCCATTTAAACGTCTTCAAGATTTGGACAACCACATTTGTGTAATTGTTAAGCAAGTGAAGCCTGCATTTCTCACTCTCTCAGAATTCATTTTAACTAAATACTGAAATACATCAGAGTATTAAAAAATATTTTGGAGCTTGAGAAATGACTTGCCTAGCAAACAAAAGGATTGGATTCTGACCCCCAGCACCCACATTTTTAGTAACCCAGATATGGAGGCACTCACTCACTTCTCATTCCTGAGGGCAAAGGTGGAAACAGGGTAAGCACTAGAGTTTTCTGGCTAGCTAGCTTACTCTGTATCAGTGTTCCGTCAGACCTGAGGAACACACTGAGTTCCATCTCTGGCCTTTACACACCAGGTACAAAGTACTTACTGGCATGTATTTTTACAAGAGTCATGAAAAATCCACCAAAATCACCTGAAGTTAAAGTGAAATGCAAGTACCTGTACCAGTTGGTGAGGGTCATCATGATATAAAGCGAAGCCAAGAAAAGCATGAAGTGAAAGAAGGAGTAACTGTAAGTGACGCCATCCCTCTCATTATCTACAGCTCGGTGAACATCATCCCCATCTTCTAGGGATCCATCACTTCTGGCATTCCCATCTTCTATCAGTGTTGACTCATCACTTGTTAGAGTCAGTTTATTAACCTGGCTATTGTTGGAAGTACGGATGCTGCATGAAAAAAAATCAAGGAAAGAAATAACTTTTAAAAATAAATAATTCCTTAACCTCCATAAATATACTTTCTGTAAAGGTAGATTTTATACCCTTTCTTACCTTGAATAAAACACACACAGCAGGAAGAGAACCAGTCCTATAATTCCTTGGGGATGCCACCACTGGACAGACTGCCCGTCCTTTGGGATAGGGCTTGTGGTATTGAAGCCAATAATACTTAGTAGACTTGGATTGCAATTTGTTTCTATAAAGGACATTAATGTTAAATAAAATGTTAGAATAATATAAAAAATGAGGACATATTTAACCCTTGGAACCTCAAAAAGTGTTGATTAAAAGAGGCACAAGCTATAAATTTATATATATATATATATATATATATATATATATAATAAATCTTATGAAGTTTTTCTGCCTAGCTTTATTTTAGAGAACTGTTTAGAAAACTTAAATTGCTTCATTTCCAACTTTATGAGAGCCAAGATATCTTGATCAACAAATGGATACAATTTAGACAACCTACCTAAAGGAAGTACATTTAGAAATACAATGCAAACTGGTATAGTCATTTTAATATCTAACAAAATAGACTACAAACCAAAACTAATAGGGAAGGACACTACATTCTCATCAAAGGAAAAATTCACCAAGATGGCATTTCAATTCTGAACATCTATGTCCCAAACACAAGGACACCCAAGTGTGTAAAACAAGCACTACTACAGCTTAATCACATACTGACTCTCATACACTAATAGTGGAAGACTTCAATACCCCACTCCTACTGATGGGTAAGTCATCCAGACAAAAAGTAAACAGTGAAAACTGGAGCTAGCGAACATTATAAACCAAATGAATCTAACAGATTTTTACAGAATACAAAAGAATATACCTTCTATGCACCTCATGAAACTTTTTCCAAAAGTGACCACATACTTGGACACAAAGCAAGTCTCAACAGATAGAAGAAAATTGTAATAACTCCCTGTATCTTAACAGACCACCATGAATTAAAGATGGCTCTTCACAAAAGAACAGAAAGCTTACAAACTCAAGGAAACTGAACAACTCTCTACTGAATGAAAATGGGTATAGACAGAAATAACTAAGACTCTACAATCAAATGAAAACAAAACATATCATACCCAAGCTAATGGGATACAATGAAAGGGATGCAAAGAGGAAAGTTCATAGCACTAGGAGCCCATATAAAAGAATTGCAGAGATCTCACACTAGCATAGCAATTTAACAGCACACCTGAAAGCTCTAGAAGAAAAATAAATAAGCACGCCCAAGAGTAGACAGTAAAAGATTTAAAAAAAAAACAAAAAAAAAACTGAGGGCTGAATGAAATTTTGCTTTAAAAAAAAAAAAGCAAAGAGAACAATACAAAGAATAAAACAAAGAGTTGGTTTTTGAGAAAATCAAGATAGAAAAACCCTTATCAACTAGCTAAAAAGACACAGAATATCCAAATTAACAAAATCAGAAAAGGGAGACATAAGAAGACTCAAACAAAATCCAGATAATTATAAAGACACACTAAAAACCTGTATTCCACCAAATTGGATAATCTAAAAGAAATGGATAATTTTCTCCACAGGTACCACTTAACAAAATTAAATCCAAGATTAGATAAAATAAACAAACCTTAAACCCTTAAGGAAATAAAAGCAGTCATTAAAATTCTAACAACCCTCCCACCAAAAAAATAAAAGCCCAGGGCTAGATGTTTATAGTGCAGAACTATACCAGACTGTCAAAATAGAGTTAATCAGAGTTAATGCTAATACTCCTCAAATTATTCCAGAAAATAGAAACAGAAAAATATTTAATAAGATACTTGGAAACTGAATGCAAGAACACATCAAAAAGATCATTCAGAAGTAGGCTTCATCCCAGAGATGCAGGGACAGTTCAATACATGAAACCTGTCAAGGTTTCAAAAACAAACTGAAAGAGAAGAATCACGTGGTCATCTATTAAGTGTAGAAAAAGCCCTTGAAAAAATCCAATAGCATGATAAAACTGGAGAGATTAGGGATACGGGGACATAACTAAACATAATAAGGGCTATTTGCACCAAGCTAATAGCCAACATATATTAAATGAGAAGAAACTCAAAACAATTCCACTAAGATCAGGAACAACACAAGGCTGTTCACTCTTTCCACATCTATTCAATACAGTACTTGAAGTTCTAGCTAGAGCTATAAGACAAATGAAGGAGATCAAGGGGCTACAAATTGGAAAGGAAGAAAAATAATGCTTATCTGCAGATGATTTGATAGTTTACATAAGTGACCCTAAAAATTCTACCAGAGATCTCCTAGAGCTAGTAAACAGCAAAGTGGCTGCCTCAAATAATATAATATATCTTGGGGTAACTCTAACCAAGCAACAAGCAAGAGGAAGATATGACAAAAAATACAAGTCTTTGAAGACAGAAACTGAAGAAGATATCAGAAGATAGAATGCTCCCTCAGTAAAAATGGCCATCTTTTTTATTTTTTGGTTTTCCGAGACAGGGTTTCTCTGTGGCTTTGGAGGCAGTCCTGGAACTAGCTCTTGTAGACCAGGCTGGTCTCAAACTCACAGAGATCCGCCTGCCTCTGCCTCCTGAGTGCTGGGATTAAAGGCGTGCGCCATCACCGCCCAGCCCAAAAATGGCCATCTTACCAAAAGCAATCTACAGATTGAATGCAATCACCATCAAAATTCCAATACAATTCTTATCAGACTTTGACAGGACAATTCTCAACCTAACATGAAAAACAAAAACAAACAAACAACAACAAAAAATGGGATAGCTAAACAATCCTGAACAATAATAGAACTGGTTTTTGATTTAAAAAAAAAGTCAGAAACACACAGTGGAAAAAGACAGCATCTTCAGCGGTGCTGATCAAGCTAGATGCTTGCATGTCAAAGAATATAAAGAGATCCATACTTATCTTCATAAAACTCAAGTCCAAGTGGATCAAAGACCTCAATATAAAACTAGTCCAGTTGACAAAGTAGCAGGCTACAGAATAAGAAAAGAGTATTTACCACCTCCATTCACATCTAATAGAGAGGACTAATATCCAAAATATACAAAGAGCTTAAACTAAATAGCACAAACCCAAATAATCCAATTAAAAAAAAAGTACAGAATTAAACAGAGAATTCCCAATAGAATCTCAAAGGTTGAGAAACACTTAAAGAAATGTTGAGCTTCCTTATCCAACAGAGAAATACAAATTAAAACTACTGGAGATCTATCTTATACCTGTCAGAATGGCTAAATTCAGTAACACAATTGACAACTCATGCTGGTGAGGATATGGAGCAAAAGGAACTCTCTTCCATTGCTGGTGGGAGTACAAACTTGTACAGTCACTACAGAATTCAGTATGGTGGTTCCTCAGAAAGTTGGGAATTGATCTACCTCATGATCCAGCTATATCACTCCTAGGCATACACCCAAAGGATGCTCCATCCTCCTACAAGGACACTTGCTCAACAACGTTCACTGAAGCTTTAGTCATAATAGCTAGAAACTGCAAACAACTTAAAGTCACTCAATGGATAAAGAAGACGTGGTACATTTACACAACAGAGTATTACTCAGCTATTTAAAAACATGGCAACATGAAATTTGCAGGTAAATAGATGCAACTAGAAAAAATTCAACCTGAGTGCAGTAACTCAGACCCAGAAAGATAAATATGGTATATATTCACACAAAGTTGATGTAAGTCATTAAGTAAATGATCACCAAGCTACAATCTATAGACCCAGATAGGTTAGGTACAGAGGATGGGCCTGGGGTGGGGTGGGGGGAACGACGATGCATGGTCTCTCTGGGAGGGGGAAATAATAGATTTTAGGGCAAACTGGGTGCAGGTGAGGATAGGAGCAGATGGGAGTCAGGTAGGAGAGATAGGGTGGAGGGAGAGATGGCTGGAATTGGGATGATGCTTAGGGGGTGGTGTAAAACCTAATACAGTGTAAACACCCTGGGATATATGAAGGTGATCCTAATGAAAACTTCTAGTAATAGGGGATCTGAAGTTTCTACTGGCCATCTCTTGTTGCCGTGGGAGGCTTCCAGTGGTGGGACTGGGTTGCATTCAATTGAGTTAGCCAAATGGGTTCCATGGAAAGCCCCAAACAACCCAGGCTGTTGCTAAGTGTTGCTCTCTGCAAACTGTTATCAGGGCCCCATTGCTGAGGAACACTCAAACAACTCATTGAACAGGGACCCCTATGTTCTAGCCTCTTTGGTGCAGGATGGTACTCTGCAGGCTACCTAGCCACAAAACCCTTGACCTACAATCTTCCTGCCTGCCAAATATACTACGGCAATGGCAGCACAAATCAGCCAGTCTGGTTTGACCTAAGGCCCACTCCATGAAAAGGAACTCATATTTGACACTACGTGAGTAACCAAGAACCACAGATTAGATAGTGCAGAAACTAGGGGGAAAACCAAACACTACTGACTTCAAACAAACAAACAAACAAAAAACAATCTCTCTCCAGACATGTGGAGAGTGTCTAAATGGAAGGTCTCCAATCAAACCCTTGCCCTCAAAGCTCAGAGAATCCTGCAGAAGCAGAGGTGGAAAGATTGTAGGAGCCAGAGAAGATGGAGGGTACCAGGAGAACAAGGCCCTCTGAATCAATCAAGGCACATATGAGCTCACAGAGACTGAAGGAGCAAGCACAGGAACTACAGGGAGTCTGTAACAGGTCCTTTTCTTATGTATTATGACTATTACTTTAGTATTTTTATGGGACTTCTGACTGTGATAAGGAGTGGGTCTTTGACTATTGTGCCTGCTCTTAGGACTCTTTTTTTCCTGTTGGGTTGCTTCATTTTATATTTTGTCATGTTTGGTTGTTATCTCTTAGAACACTCTTCTAATGAGAGACAGAGTGGATCCAGAAGGGAGGGGAAGTGGGAAGGAGCTGGGAGGATTAGAGGCAGGGGAAACTATAATCAGGATACATTTTATGAGAAAAGAAATCTATTTGCAACAAAAGAAAAAAATAGAATCCCATAGTGTGCTTCAGGTGATACAGGGAGCATCTTGGTAGGTTGCAGGAGTTCATCTTGGTACCATAGGTCTGCAAGTTGTGCTTGTTATTTATTCAATAGAACAAAGGCTAAATCAGAAATTACTATTGGTCCCACTCATAAAGCACAACTCTTATTTTTCCCACAGAGAGCAGACAAAGAGATTTTTCTTTCAGTGAACTCCACTGAATTTACTCTTTTTTTTTTTTTTAAAGATTTATTTATTATGTATAAAACATTCTGCTTCCATGTATATCTGCACACCAGAAGAGGGCACCAGCTCTCATAAGGGATGGCTGTGAGCCACCATGTGGTTGCTGGGAATTGAACTCAGAACCTCTGGAAGAGCAGTCAATGCTCTTAACCTCTGAGCCATCTCTCCAGCCCCTGAATTTACTCTTATAAGCCAGAGAGGAAAGATGCTGTGACGAAATACAAAAGCTGTGCCTTAAGCATTATTGCTTCAACCAAACAGCTTCAGTTACAGCCTTAAAGCACTGGGCTTATCTATAACTTGAGCCCGTATTTATAACCTATTACACTCATAACACACAAGGAAATGTAATCCATCTTGTAAAAAGAAGAAGAAATACAATGCAGACCTTTTAACTCACAGGACGTTACCTTTCCTGTCAATTGCTTTGCAATTTTGAAAGGATAAGCATACACTTAAGTGACCAATATATATTCACTTTTAATTCCAACAATCCCAAATCTTCAATCTCCACTTTATTGACGAAAGCTACTTAAAGCTGAATTCTCAAGCAAATCATTAGTGACATTTTAAAACTACTTATTTTGGCATGAGGGAAGAGGATTCTCTATATACTAAGATCCCTGTCTCTATAACAACTGAAAAAGTATTTAATGAGTTTGTAAACAGTGTGATGAGTCAGAACACTTTTTTTTTTTTCTTTTTTTTTTTTTTTTTGGTTTTTGGAGACAGGATTTCTTTGGAGCCTGTCCCGGCACTCAGTCTGTAGACCAGGCTGGCCTCGAACTCAGAGATCCACCTGCCTCTGCCTCATGAGTGCTGGGATCAAAGGTGTGAGCCACCAACACCCAGCAGAGCACGTATTTTATTATACAAGTACGATTTTACAGGAAAAAAAATTATTTTCTAAAAATTGTTATTTCTTTGTCCCTTCAAGACATACAGGTTTTTTATTTCCCAGGGGATTCAATATGACTCAAGTACAAAGATTAACAAAGCCAGTTACCTACTGTAAGATACTTACAAAAAGAATGTGAAAAGGTTATAATTAAATTTACAACTAAAAAAGCACTTAAAGTGGTTCATACCCAGCATTGGAGGCTGAGGCATGAGGGCTGCCAAGAGGTCATGGTCAACCTGAGCTACAAAGTGAATCCTTGTCTCAAACAAAACATAAAAAAAAAAGAATACTTTATTTCTTCCGATGCACAGCTATCTTAGACATTATAAATGTTAAGTGTACATGCTTTCATGATTTCTGAGAACCACATCATTTTGTTAGTGAAGGAAGAAACTAAATGAAAAGAAAAACAGCAATAGCTTAAAGATGAAGTAATACTACTTACATGCTCTACTCCTCTACCAGCCTAATTAAGTAACTTCCTCCCTTAAAATGAACAGCTTTGAATAAAGAAAGTCAATACTACAAGACTCATTACAAATAAAACATACCTGGTTCATTGGTCATAGCAGACCATGTCAAATACATTGTGTAGACTGTAATTACTGAAGACTGTAACAAGCCAGATCTTGGTTGTGATTCCTACAAACAGAATATTAAGTAATAAAAATAAATATCTGACATTCCGATTGATGAAAAGTTATAGTTAAAGGCTTCAAACACCTGAGTGCTGGTTAGTACGTACTTGGATCTTGGGCAGTATAGACATTACGGAAGCACCAATGCAGAGCAACATGTTGACACTGATAAATGCCTTATTTTCTGAACAACCGGCTGGGTGAGTGTAGTAGACAAAGAATAAGATGATGGCAACTAAAGACAGCAAATAATTCAGAGCTGTAGCTGATAATAGGGCTGGGAAAGAAGCACAATTGTATTATTAGATTTTTTAATAAAAACATTAGAAATTCAGCATGGCTTGTTTATTTCTAGTAGTCTTCCCTTTAAAATTTTTACTTTTAATGTAGTGGGAAATTTGGCAGCAAAAATATATGCTTTAAGCATGGGCCCTGAACATCATCCTGGCTATTTAAGGATCGTTTAGCTTCCTTACTAGTCCCCAGATATAGTGCTACTTAGTAAGTTACAAAATTTTCAACAAGTTGCTGATATAGCACTCATAAACTTAAATTGAAAACCTCTTTATAGGAAATTAGAACACAAAAAATCCTAAGATTCCTGCAACCCATCAATGTTCACCATACTGAGGGCACGCTATGAAATAAAAGCTTACCTGCATACCAACATCTTGAGTTCCCTTCTTCCATCTTTTCAACCCATGATTCATTCCAAGAATGGGCAAAGTCAATAAGCAAGACTAGTTGTATGAGGATGAAACAAAAGGCACCTGCCATGCCTACATAAAACCACACTGAAAGGAAAAATAATGTCTATTAAGCAAAGGAACAACTGATTTAGTTTTTATTATTTTTCTTAATAATCGTGATACAGAAAGGGAAAAAAAAGCATATGGAAATTGATTTTGTAACTGGGAAGAATAGAAAAACCAAACAGTAAAGGAATGACAACTCCATATGGGGG